TTGGACCATTTCTCGATTTATGCGTGTCATCCTTGAAAGCGCAGGGGCCATGCTAATCTTCTCTGTATCGTTCCAATTTTAACGGATGTCCCGAAGGACACTAATGTTTTTTTCGTTTCGACAGTGGTGTGGCGAGGCCCTTACACGAAGCAGGTTCGCGACCAAGCCCGCCAGTTCCGCTCCAGTTTTGGACTTTCGTGACATCGTTCCCACCCCTGTCGGCCGTTGGGGAGTCGTTTCGCATGTATCGCCACTTGTCGTCCTGGGCCTGGTTGAGAGGCCCCGGCGCTGCTTCCAATGATCCATCGCTGCTGTACATTTGCACGACGACGCGTAGCGCCTCCAGGCGTCGTCAACAAGTGGGTTATAAGTCCCCCGATTTATTTACAGGTTTCAAATTGCTTCTCTGCGATCGACACTCCTTTCACGCGCAGCTGTGGCAGCGTCACTGAGTGGCAAGATGTATGTCGCCGATCGGCCCGCCTAAGCCCACGCTTCCCCCTCCCCCTCCCCCTCCCCCTCCCTCGACAGGCAACATCTCCAATCGAGAGGCTGAAGCCGGCCGAGTATGAGATCAGTCGGCAGTTTCTGACCAAGCTTGCCGCTGTAGGCGGCAGGAAACAAGCCCATCAAGCTCACCAGTTGTCGTTAAACATCGGTGGCGGCGGCGGTGAAATCCCCGCCGGGGTTGTCATGATGAGAAAGAAGCAGCCCTGTGGGACATCTCAGGGAGGGCCGACAGTGGTGTGCGGCATCGGAAACCGGTCAAAACGCCTGCTTTCTGACTCGGCGGCTGCCCCCGGCGATGGCTATGGCGGTGCGAGCAATGGTGCGACGCCGATCGATGATGGCAGTGCGGCAAAGCCGCCAAGAAAAGGTGTTGACGACAACGGACGATCGTGCGCTGCTCCTCGGGGAACCGAGATGGATTCGATTGACGGCCAAGATCGCAGGAAGAGAGGAGGGCGCCGTGTGACAACTAGAGACAGGCCGGCTGCCATTGCCGCCGGCCCTACTCTCCCCGAAACTGCGGCTGAGAGAGGGGAACCAGTAGGATCGCCCCCAGATGATCCGCACCGTCTATCGGAAGCAATCGCTGCCCTCCGATCTTTGGCGAGCGCGAAGAAGGCTCGCGTTCTCCAGCGTTTCTTCCAAACTGAACCAGGGCAGTACGGACATGGTGACGTCTTTCTTGGTGTGACTATGCCTCAAATACGCAGTGTCGCGGCTCGATCTCCTGACCTCTCTCTCCCACAGATTGCAACGCTTCTGTCGAGCACTTTCCACGAAGAACGAATGCTCGGAGTAGTGACATTCGTCAATCAATTTGCTTCTGCGCTGAAGAAGAAACAGGAGTCGACTTCGCCCATTAGATCTGCCCTTCCTCCTCCCTCTCCTCGCTCTCCTTCCTCTCCTCTCCCTTCTTCTTGCTCTGTAGAGGTTAACGATCTCGTGACTTGGTACGTGTGTAATCGAAAGGGGCTGAACAACTGGGATCTTGTCGACGCGTCCGCTTACCACGTGATAGGTAGCTGGGTGAGTGCTGACGTGGCACGACGTAAGTGGGTCTTGTACTACCTGTGTGGAGAAGACTCTCCTTGTCGGATTCCCGCGGAGACTAACGACGCTTCGATCCCGCGATTGCCTTCACGGCCGTCCCCTCCTCCTCTCGTTTCCGCCCACTCCCTCTCTCTCCCTCCCCCTCCCAACCCGCCCTCTCTTTGGGACGTTCGCATTGCCATCGTAGCCAATTACAGGCTAATAAACGACCGACGTGGCAGTGCTGACAGGGTTGTTGACGGCAGCAACAATGACACACGGTTCGGACCCATCTTCGATCTGGCCGAGCGATTCTACTCCCATCCCCACGATCTTATTCACAAGGCGCTGGGCTGGATGCTGCGAGAAGCGGGAAAGCACGATCAGGAGCGATTGATGGGTTGGCTTCGGCGATTCGCTGCCAAGTTGCCACGTGTCATGCTTCGATACGCGATCGAGAAGCTCTCTCCGACGATAAAGAAAGAGTTAATGGGAGCGGCATCCGCATGTGGTGGGGAAGACGTCAGGCCATCCAGCGACGTACACATGGCTGGTGATGAAGATGGCGACGGCGATGGCAAAGGCACGGCGGCTGCCGTTGGAAGAGGGCGAAGGAGGGGAACGAATCTCCGCGCAGCAACGAGGACGAGCCAGGGGGAGGGCGACTCAACTGAGGTGTTAAATGAGAGCCGCCGAGCTGAGGAGGAGGAGGGAAAATCAGCAAAGGACGGAAAGGAGAAGGGGGCAAGTCAGCAAAAGACAGGAAGGAGAACTCGAGGTCGAGATGTGGTGCCCTCCCAAGGAGGGCAAGGCATGACAGGGGCTCGTCGGTCGACACGTGGCGTTCCTGGCACAGGAGTCCAGACGATGGCTACGAGAAGAGAGGGGGAGAGGAAGAGTGGGAACGAAAGCGAAGGCAGTGGAGGGGGGGGTATTCAGAGCAGGAAACGAGCGGGTGCAGCGGCCGCTCTCCTCCCACCATCTCCCAATGTCGATCCGGAAAGGAACGATGAGGATCGATCTGTAGAACTGTCACGCGAAAGACGACGACGACGACGGTAACGAGCGGATTTTTTTTAATTTCTTTTTTTGGAACGGAAATTTGACACTATGAGAGAGACGGAAAGGACGCGGGTGTAGTAAGCCTGAGAGGAACATTGATGGCATCCAATCTATTTAGAAAATCGAAAGGGGGAAAAAAACGAGCGGTGCAGTGCTGCAGAAAAGCGCATCAAGAAAAACTCACAGACAGCATGTGCCAGCTACTGTATGTGCAAACAGCCGCAGCAAGAAACGATTTACAAACAGCATGCGCGCTTGCACACACACACACACACACACACACACACACACACACACATACAGGGGGAAGGGGGGGGGGGGGGGGGGGAGAGAGAGAGAGAGAGAGAGAGAGAGAGAGAGAGAGAGAGAGAGAGAGAGAGAGAGAGAGAGAGAGAGAGAGAGGCGGGCAGCTGAACCTGAAGTGTGGATTCTTTTCGGGAAAATCGGGCCTCTGGGTGAGGATGGGCTGTAAAGAGAGAGCGAGCGAGCGAGTGAGCCCTCTGGGTGAGGATGGGCTGTAAAGAGAGAGCGAGCGAGCGAGTGAGCGAGAGAGAGAGAGAGAGAGAGAGAGAGAGAGAGAGAGAGAGAGAGAGAGAGAGAGAG